GCTAGTATAGAACCATTAGTGAACTACTTAAATTAGACATCAAAAGTATATGTGTGGCTAGTTGTACTCTCTAATATAAGATGACTTCTTTGAGGCTTTGGCTGTAAGTTCCTATGTCCAATTTACTGAATAAAACTCTAGACTCAAAAGAGGCTAGTTTAATAGAAAAAAAAAAAATACAAAAATATAAAAAATCTAAAATCCAAAACTATGAACTGTAGTTTAGAAAATAATCTGTCTTATAAGTTCTAATTAAAAATTTATAATAAAAAGATTTTAGTTGAACCTGACAATCTTATATCAAGAATTACAGAATTAATTATAATATAACATAGTAATGCAATATAACAATTTTCTTTTTATTAAGTATTAACTATTATTAATATTATATCTTTTGTTATGCTAAACCATAATTAAAAACTTTTATAAAATTTATTTTATAAAATCTTAAAATTATAGTTAGAATCGATTGCAAATTCTATCTGCTATAATCCAATTGTCTATGATTACAAACATTAACCTATATAATAATAAGGTATGATATGAAATTTTGTTAGTAAAAAAAACTCTATAGTGCTGCCAATAACAAATATAAAATACAGACAAATATTTGTAAATAATGAAATAAGTATAAATAGTTCAAATCTGAAAATATCTACATCTTTCTGTTGCAGTTTAATATCTTCAAACTCCAATATTTTTCTAAAATTTAATTTATCTAATTGGACTAAAACAGTAGTATTGTTTAAACATTCCAGTATTCAAAAGAAAAATAATCTTGCATTGCATGCAAGTAATCTACAGTATAACAATAACAAAATTAAAAAAATCAATGATCAAAAATGTACCAACAAGGCAACTAGAAAACATAAGATTCAGGCATTAATATTTAAAAATTAGATATCAAATTAAAAAATTTAGACAATAAATTTTAATAATGAGAACTGATCAAACTAGTGATTGTAAATTATTTATATTTTTAAGTTATAAATTAATAAAATAATTAGTATTATAATAATTAATTTTAAATTTAAATTATTTTAAATAATTTATTAAAATTTATTATTACAAACAAATAAATTTGTACAAAAAATTTTTATTCACTCTTTTGCATTTCCAAATTTTTATTATAATTGTGGTTAGTATGTTTACTATCTGAATCAAATAAAGATCTTATTTCTTCTAATATAATCAATAATTTATCATGATTTTTTGAATTTAATCTACTATATTTTTTTTAATGCTTTTATCCAATTGTTCAAAAAGAGTTTTAACCTTAAAATTATTTGATTTTTTTATATTAACTGCAGTTTCCTATATAATTTCTTTCTGTTTTGTAACTGGAATAGATCTAAATAAAGATGCAGAACTATTGTTATAAAAAACATTAGTAATATATTTTTGATGAGCTTCTTTTGCTAAGCATATAAAATTTGCCATCTTAGTGTTTAATTTATATTTTTTTTTAGACTTTTATAAATAATTTGAAACTATAGGATTGAGGAAATTGTTTTTTTTTAGATGGGCCCTAAATCTTTGGCATTTAGTAGTTGCTTCTAGTCAGTTTTTTGAATTATTTATCTAAGGATCATTGTATCTAATTAATCCAAAAAAATTGTTTTACAACTATAAGTTGTTAATTGTAAATTAGTTAACTTAAATCTTTAAGTTAATTATACAAAGTAATTATCTGAAAGAATTTTTTACAATTTTGTACAGCAATTTTCTAGTAATGTATTTGTAGAGTTAGAGATATCAATGTTTTTAAGGTCTTATTTATTTTCTCTAAAATAGATCTAATTCTTGATGTTGATTGAAGAGTTCTAATCTAAAAATAGTATAATTTCTTTTTATGATATCCTTTACAGATAGATCAAGCTGCATCAGCTGTATTTCATCTGAAGCTTCTATTAGACAGTATGTCAAATGATGTCACACTAACCATATTGGTAAAAAAAACTCTCTTTGTAGCTCTTTTCAGCAACAAATTATTTTCTCTAATAGCCTTTCTATAGTTAACAATAATCTGCAAATAATAAAAAATCTAGACAAAAGTTAGTAGTTAAAAATTTTTTTAAAAAAAATAAAAAATAAAAAAATAAAAATTAATTATTTAATAAAAAAAAAATTATATCTGCTTAAATTTTATCTGATAAAGAGGATTTTTTTGTTCTTTTATTCAGTTTAAATATTCTTTTACAGACAAATCAAAACTATTTTTAACATATGATTAAGTCAGTTCTATGATCATTGCTTAGCAATAAATGTTGCAAATAGAATCTTAAGCCTTATGATAATTATAACATTTTTTAAAATAGGCAAGTTGATTCTTTGTTTTATATTTTTAATATTTCACAAAGTATTTAATATTAATATTCTTTTTTTTAAAAAAAATATTAAAATAAGTATTTGTAATTCAGAATTTTATTGATAGTATATTTGGCTAATGGTTGTATTACAATTACAGATAGCAACTATAGAAAGAATATACAACTAGCTACTTATACAACTTTAGTTATTATCTAATTTAAGTAATTAGCCCGAAAGTTTTATACTAGTTGCCATATTTGAAACCTGCTTGTAGGTTCTCTATTTAACTACTCTAGTTTTTATATTTATCTATCTACTTCTGTCTACCAATGATCTTAGCTGATGCCAATGAAAATATGCTATAGCTACTAAGTCTTTAAAGCAGTTTTTTGAAAGCTTTAACCTTGTACTAAACCTTTTAGAATCTTTTGTATTCCATTCTTATAGCTGACTTGGTATTGCTATGACTGAAACTAATACTGACAGTTAGAACATATCATTAAATTGCTATGTTCTTGTAGAGTTTACTCCAATCCTAATATTGATTTTACAACATATTCTTACTATTTTGGTATTCAATTTAGATTCTACCAAGCTTCTATTTTAGATAACTCAAAAAGGTTGATCAAAACCATATACTTCTGGTTTATATGTTTGCTAACATGTATTTTTTTTCTCTGAAATCCAAAAATTTTGACAGCCTGGTTAGTTCATCTAGTTCCTCTTCAAAGACTAGCACATTTATCTAGTTTCACAAGTTCTAGTTCTGTTTTATAAATTCAGTCTTTATAGTAGCATCATTAAAAGTTCAGATTATCTTTCTACTTGGGTTTTTTAAGTGAGCTTTCATTTTTTTATCTGGTTCCTGTAATTTACATGGCCTAAGAACTTATCTTGGATTCACATTGCCTAGTACCAGTTTGTATTTCTTTGTACAATATTGTATAAGTGCCTAGACTTTTTAGCCATACTAGTATAATATAGGTTACAGGTATCTTATTTTAATTAATCACAGAAGACAGTTAACTATAATATAGAAAGAATTACAAATTTTCACTATTATTGAGATTTGAACTCTAAACCTACTACTTGGTGGTTGACAACCTATCTACTTCATTAGGTTGCTACACCTCTATATGTTCTTTTTTATATAAATGAAAAGTTAATATAAATATAAATATTGTTTGAAATTAACAACTATTAGCTAATTCTATTAATAATTAAAACACTTATATATGATTTTCTTAGAATAAATACAAATACAATACAAACTTACCAATTTAGCTTAACATATGCTCTAAACATATTTATTTCTTCATATAATTGCTTAGAGACAAGAATCAATCATAGAAATTTATACTTTATTTTAGTTATATAGTAATATAGAACACCATCACATATAACAACTATTCATTTATACATTCTGTCTTTGATTTTTGAAATTTTCTCTATATGATGAAAAATCTCTTCAATGTTAGTAATTGAGTTAAGGTTAATATTAAAAAAGTTAGGAATAAAAATTTCCAGAATTTTAACTTCTATATTAGGTGATTATTTTTGAGTAACACTTATTCTTGGCTTAGTAGATAATTTAGATTTCTTAATACTATATAATTTAAAGATGATTGAAGAAGTTTTTACATTTTTTTCTAACTTAGAGGCTTGTTCTAGTTATAGTTTAGACAACTTAGATAAACAAGTAGCACATTTTGAACAAACTTGCTTTCTATTATTGATATTTTTTTTTATCACAGTTAAGTCATTGTTTATTATAACAATCATTTAATCTTATATTAAAAATAAAAATATTGATATTATTAGTAGTAGATAATTTCTCTTTAAGTAACAAGCTTAAAATTTCTAAAAGATAATTATATGATTTTTTATTGGTAATTCTATTTTCATCTAGATTAATTTAACCTGTCATGTGATTTATATTTACAGTAGCTTGAAATTGGGCTAGAAATATTTTATGCACCAGTCATATGACCGCTATTTGTGTTATGACAATCACGTAATATATATGTATAGTACGTACATACTAAAATTTGAAATCGAGTTTATTAAACCTGATTTTACTCAAAACTCTAATACGTACATATATATGTACTAAAAATTTTTTAGCGTAAAAAATCACCTTTCAGGTTAGACTTCTTTACTATTTACTATATAAACCATCTGCATCCAACTCAGAACAATTTCCAACTTTTAAAGTATTTTTCGATCTTATGCCTGTTTTTTGGTAGTTATATTAGAAAAATTGATTCACAGTATTAACCATATGACATACAAAGAGACTTATTTTGCTATGTATTAACCCTTAAGCTTATTGTATTATTAATAACAGAAGGGAACATACCTGATCCAAAGTTAATCCCACTAATCCCATACAGGGTATGATCAATTAAAACTAATATAAATAATTTCAGTTTAAATTAATTACACCATGTGTGAGATTAATAGGATTAACTTTGGATCAGATACGTTCTCACCTGTTATTATTAATCAATTTAATTGTAACTCTGATTTTAAACTCAGAAATTAAAAAATCATATAAATATTCAGGCTGTTCTTATATATATTTGCTTTCTTACACTATAAGTTTGTTGCTGCTTTGTCAAAATGAGCTTTGAATGATCGATGAACGATCGATGACATCAATCATGCTATTTTAAATACTGAACTTGATAATGATATTGGTGTAAACTTTGGTTCCTTTAATTTCAACAATGGTCTTGGTAGTAATAAAAATGAAATCTTTAATAAAAGCTTTGATGATGATTATATATTGTATAAAGCGACTCTAGTTAATACCGATTCAGACATATGTGAAGCAATTCCAGCTAATAATAATTTAGACACATGTGAGGTGACTCCAGTTAATGACAATTCAGACACAATAATAGTTGGTCAGACTTTTAAAGAATGGTCTGATGTTGAGCAGCATATTTACACCTATGCAATAAAGCATAGTTTCACTATAAGATTAAATTATACGGACAAAAATTTGGGTTTTCTTATTAGAGCTGAAATCGTCTGTCACTATGCTAGAGCTCCAAGTAACAAAAGTAGTGGATTAAGAAGAACAAAAAGTGTTGCTATTGGTTGCTTGTGGAAGATAGTTGTTCACTAGGTAAAAGTTGAATATTGTATAAAACAAATTAGTCTTGAACACAACCATCCTTTAGATATTGCTGCTGTTGTATTTGATCTGGGTCATTGTAAATTAAGTAATGTTGAAAATATGCATGTACGAATGCTTTATAATGGGGAAGTACCAGTGCCAACTATCATCAATATGTTAAGTGAAGAATACAACAGATACATACATAACAAAGATATATACAATGCACTAAATCATTGATCCTGTGACTATGTAAAAGGTTTATCACAAACTGTGAAACTGTTGTGTAGTTTAAATAACAATAATGAGTATTTGTTTACTTATTCAGTTAATAATAATAAACTCCACTGTTTATTTTTTACCACACATTCTGCTGTTGCAAAATTTAAATATTATCCAGAAGTTTTATTAATGGACTCAACATATAAAACAAACTGCTTTGTGATGCCACTTTTGCTTATTAGTAGTGTTGATGCTATAGGCATTATATTTCTTGTCGCCAGTAGGCTTCTTGCCAATGAAACAACACCAAGCTTCTGTTGGATAATTCATTAATTAAAGCAATTGATTGGTGATACAGCTTATCATGGCATATAAACAATTTTATCTGACAGAGATCTTGCATTTGTTTCTGCACTTAAAACTGAAGCATCACATGTTAGACACCAACTCTGTATTTGGCATGTGAAACAAAATATCATTAAAAACTTAAGTAAAAAGCTTAAGAATAAGTTCATTGCATTTATTAAAGATTTTAAAACATTAATGTTTAAAAGTGTAGAAACCCAATTTAATACTTTATGGGATCATTTAATAGTTGAATATCTGGAAGCAAATAGTTATATAATAGAACAATAGAAACCTTTTGCTCATATGTAGGCATGTTGTTATACTAATAAGAATATTAATTATGAAATACAAACAACACAGCAGTCTGAGACTAGTAATGCACATTTAAAATGTCTCTTAGGTCATATAGCACCCTTATCTGAATTAATCAATGCATTAGAGAAGTTAAGTCATCATTAATTACAATGCTCCCAATATTAAACCTATCGATTATGTGGAAGCATTCGTCAACAATGTCCTGAACTATTAAAAGATATTTTGATAATTGTTTCAGACTTTGTTTATTCTTTATTATTGAAACAATATAATCTGGCAACCTCTTATAATGTTGAAAGAAAAGAGCTTAACTTATTTCAAGTTTATCGTAATGAAGGCCATAAACGTACTATATACTAGACTAATACTGAATATGCATGTTGCTGTGATTATAGCATGCAATTTTGTTTACCATGTCACCATGTTCTTGCCATTTATATTGTAATAAGAAAGTCATAGATGTTGAATGCATTGGTAAATGTTAGATTATTTCACTAGCAAGATTCAATACTGATGATGATATGTTTCACTCTGAAGAAAATTCTATAGAATCTATAACTGAGCTTTCATATTTGGCAAGTCATAGTAATAGATCTTTAGCTGATTTTTTACCTTCTGTTAATCATAGTATTTGTGATATAACCAATCAACAAATATCTATCAAAAGTACTGTGGATCTGCTTAAAGATATTGAATCAATCTCTAACAGAGTAGGACATGTTAAAATTAATAATATTTTAGCTCATTTTGTAGAACAATTGAATAATGATTTTTCTTTATTGAAAGAAGACATTGAGGATTCTATTATCGTGAAGACAAAAAAAAAACCAAGTAACACTAAACGTAAAAAGACAGGTACTGAACATGCTATTAAAAAAGTATACATGTGCAGTATTTGTAGCAGTACTGGACATAATTCCTAAAGTTGCTCAAGCAAAAACTAAAGTAACTAGAAGATACTTATTTCTTGTTTATAATGTTTTAAACATTTTGTTTTAATATCAAATATTTTTTCTTGTTTGTAATGTCTAAACCTTTTTTTTATATGATGCCAAATGTTTTCTTAACTATTGTTACAAGTTTGTTTTAAATCATTTAGCTTTAACAATTATATATAAAATAGCTTGTTTAATGAATTAATTTAACTATTATGCGAATAATTTGAATTGATTTGAGTGCTTTGGTAAATAAACTGCTTATATTAACTTGAGCATAAAAGTAATTTTACAAGTGATATTAAAAAATTTTTACTTGTAAAACTACAAGCATATATTTTGGGACCATATAAGTGATTTGAAAAATAGTATATGCATTTATTAAGATTACATGTGGTCAATACCTGTATTTTAAAAGATGAATTTGGATTCTTTGATTTGTCAATGATATATGAGTTCTAACAGTATGCGATCACAAATGTAATTTAAATTATGTAATTATTGTGATATAAATAGTGGTCATGTAACTGGTACACAAAATATTTCTAGCCTGATTTCAAGCCACTGTAGATATAAATCATATGACAGGTTAAATTAACCTGGATGAAAATAGAATTAATCTTTTTTATTTATTACTTCTTGCATTTCAGGTATAACTATAAAAAAATTTTTGTATTAAAGCCTATTATTAAAATTAAATAACTAAAGTAAATTAATATGTTGAATAAAATTTTTTAATTTTATATTAAAAGCAACAAAGCTAGTAACAGTATTATATATCATTGTATTTGATTCTTGGTCAAGATAATTTCTCTGTTCTTTTTTGTTTATTATCAAATATTATAAATAAAAGTTCTTAAAATAATACTTCTTTTCTTTTTAACAATTCATTCAGTAATCTTTGAAAATGAGAATAATTTCCCAAATATGAAATATAATTATTAATATTAATAATAGTTTTAGATCTTGCAATAAAGTATTTTATGATTAATACTACAAGATTTATTTCTGACATATATTTTTTATATCTAGATTTATAAATTAAATCAATGATCATTGCTTATTGCCTTTTGAATATCTTCTTAATGCTTAAAGAATCTATATTAGAATTATTATAAGTTAGTGTTTCAATAAATTTTATAATAATCTAATTACATCTACTTAGCCATAGCTGTGATGCATAATTTAATAGGTTTTTTAAAGAAAACTTATTGTTAGCTTTAATAAGAGAATTAATATTATCATATAAATATACATGCTTAAATAATGCAATATTAATAACTTTTTGAATGTACTTATGCTGATTGCAATACCAAAAATTACATTGTTTAGTAAGCTTCTTATTTTCTTTATATTTTTCTTTACAATACTTATTTATTTGCTTTCTTAATTCTAATATCTCTAGTTTTTGATCTTCTACTTGCTACTACAATTTAGTAATAACATTAGTAAGATACAACATAAACTTATTATTTTCTATTTAACATTTATTTTTGACAATTAACTTTTTAGAAATAGAACTAGTATCGATTTGAGATCTTTTATTTTCATAATCCGTAAAATCTAAATTAGAATTATCTAAAAGATTTTGATAAAAAATATTTTTAGTTATAATTTCATTATAATGCATTTGACAAACAGAATAAGAATCTAAAAAAAGATCAACAAGTTTTGATATAAAATCATAAAATAATACAAACCGCTTAGTTGTCTTTGAACTATTAGCATTTTACCAAGTTTGTGATCTTTTTGTATTACAGAAACTTAAACCAAATCTCTTGTATTCCTTAACTATTGTAATAAATATGCAAGGAAGTTTCTTAGGTTTTGGTTTTGTTAGATTACTGAATATTGTGACATTTTGAATTCTAGACTTCTAGTATATTAGGTGAAAAAAAAATTACGTATATACATTAAAAATTAAAATGCTATTTTTAAGCTTTGACTACTTTTTTACAAAAAACCGATCTCAAAAAGATTACAAAAGATCATGGAACTATAGATTTTTTGCTCTTAGTTCGAATAGTTATAACAGCAATTGATTATCATGAAAAGCCACAAAAAGTCACACTTTATAGCTAAAGAGAACCAACATGAGTTGGCAAGAGCCAATCAAATTTTATCCGATTTTTAAGAGGTGTTCTAGAAATTGATTTCTATTTTTGGTAATGTGCCCGACTGTAATTACTCCTTAAGAGGGTCAGGTAGACGGGAATCAGGTATTAATCGTTATAGGTGGTAAACGGATACATAAAATTAAGCAAATGGAAGTTTTTCGTGACACACTTTATTCGAAATTTTTTTTTTTTTATACTGATAAATATAGGCTATATTGCGCAAAATCGATCAATATTGATAGACTAGAGATTATTTGGAGTTGTGATTTTTACATAACAAAAAAATACTATTACTTTTTAAAAAGCTTTTTCTTAAGACTAATTTTTTAATAAAAAATAGTTGTTTTTAAATTATTCACGGTTTATGCAATTTAATCAATTTATTAAGTAAAAATATGCTAATTCGAAATCACTTAATAACGAATGTAAAGCGTAAAAAAATAAAATGTATAAGTTTTAAAATATGATTTGTTTGCATTTTATTGTCGTCATGAACTTGAAAGTCACAATCAATAAATCGAACCATCGTTTATTACTTAAGTACATGCCGTAGAAAGCATTTCGGCATAATTTCCACCTGAATTTTGGCATGCGACATAGCCTAAAGCTAAAATTTGTGCCACAACTAGTGGTCAATACCTTAGACCAAAATTAATGCCGTAAATGTAAGGACCTGGCATGCCATTTAGCAAGAGTAAAAAAAAAAATTTTCTAAATATTATTAACTAATCAAATTATATAAAAATAATTTTATAATAATTTTATAATAAAGGCATGCCAGTAACTACTGTGCCAGGTTCCCTATGTAAATGTACAGTATCCTCAGAAAATATATCACGGTTACACGAAAAAACTTAACATAAATTTCTAAATATATGCACTTAACAGTTAGAATTAGTACGTGCGTACGTACAGGTAATAAGTTAAGATATGCATACAACTATGTACGCGTACTTTTTGCATAATTTATGTTAAGCTTTTTTGTGCAACTGTGATATACTTTCTGAGGGTACTGTGCATATTATAAAAACCATTTTGCTTAGTTAAAATATTTCAGCATTTATTTTTGATATGAAATTGCTGAGTTGTCTTAGAAACTTATATGCCGAAACACTTTCGCCACGCCGAAATAGTTCTATGAATGTATACTAAAATTATAATATAAAAATGCGGCTATCAATTTAGGTTATGTCTTGAATTTTAGATTTCGGCTTTTGTTTTAGATTGCGGTATAAATTATGGATTGTGGCCCTAAAAACTGGTGCCTTAAATTTCATATATAAAAACTTTATAAAATTTTTTTCAAAACCTCTCCGGTTATTAAAAAATATAAAAAATTTTTTACAAGTTTCAAATTTTGACCCAGCCGGGTCATGAAAATCAATTAATTAATTTTTCATGATCTAAATTTTTTAACTTTTTAAAATATCAATATACCATATACAAGATATATAATTTTAAGCTTCATTTACGTTATGCCAAAGATTATTCTTAATACACTTAAATGCATTTGTAAAAATTTTAATTTAGAAGTATTACTCTTGTCTAAGATATATTTTGTTCTTCAACCAATCTTTCCTTTTCCTCTTGTTGCTATTTAAAAATATATATCAATATATCGATATCAATCCGAATCTATATCATTGCTGAAACTGCCAATGTCACATCTTCAATACTACTTGCAATTAACTATAAAGTAACTATATAGTTGCCATAGTATAAAGTTACTGTATAATTATTTAATACAGTTAGACCCCTCTAAATGTAATTCGTTGGGACCAAACTTTTGACAACGTTCATTTGGAGAACAATAAGAAAAATTGCATTTATGAAGGTAAGAAATATATTTGAGCCAGAGCTTGAAATCGCATTCAAGTATTGCATTTAGGCGATATTTTAAAACAAATTGATACCTCAAATTCCATAGCTCATATTTCGATGAATTTTTATGCTATTTTAGTGATTCAATAATAAAAAGAGAGCCTAATTTCTAGGTTTTCTTTTGAATATTAAATCATTAGATTAAATTCAAAATTTGCCGAGATACGAGCCATGAAAGTTGAAGTGTTGATTTTTTTTTAAAATGTAAATTTGCTTGATTTCTATTGATGGCAGCCCATATAATAACTTTGTTATAGTGATTATAAAGTAACTATATAGTAACTTTAAACTATATCTACTCCAAAATAGTATTAAAGTTGCAAAAATTGACAGTCTCAGTAATGAGTAAAGAATAAGATGCAACCTTCACTCACCAGTAACATTTTTTGTTCTATAAACCACGAAGGTAAATTTCGCGGCAAAGTAATTAAATCCATATCAAACAATTCAATAAATTGTTCGTTAACATAACGAGCCTTATTACCAGCAAAACTCCGATACTATGTGAATATTTTGATTATTGTAATTGTTTGATAAATGGGAATGTAGATGAAAAATTTATTACCTCAACCATAATAGAAGTAAAGTTCCAGTTTTGTAATTTTCGTAAACATCCAATGAATGTTCCAGTTTCGTGGATGCCTGAACTTTCGTGTAAATTATACATTTAGATAACAAGAACGCTGTCATCAATGTAAAAGATTAGATATATGAGCGACGCTAAACGAAAATTAGACTTCACACATATGAATTTTATAAGTTTGAAGTCTTAATTTGGCGGCACTCATTTTCAATAAAATTTAGACATACGTGCACATGACAAGCATTGGATAATTTTCAGTATCCAATACCATTTCTAACCCATCCTTAATCAATTCTTCACTGACGGGTTGCCAGCCTGGAGTGGGTTTCCAGACCTTTATGCCCAAATGAACCTTTTAGATTAAATAAATTTAAAAGTAAAAATTCGTATATGTTCCAGTATCTAATTTGTGTTATATTATTATCAATTTTCTTACAAGGGTACCAATTTAATATTATTTTCCTCCAAAAAATTGCTTACAGAACGAGCTGGAACTTCGGGAGATAAAAGCAAGATCGTTTTTAATTTGAGTGATTTTATAAAGGGAAGATGTGGAGGAGATAACATGTCTGAACGATAAAGGCCTTTTTCGACATTTCCGAACTGTTCGGGTGGTGTCAGCACTTTATTCATTTGTTTAATTTGTAAATACTTCTAAGCAAGTTAAGCTCAATAGATACAGATAAAATAGAATAAAATAGATAGAATGTCACGAGTAATACTTTGAATTGATCGACCAATCGATTTTCATCGATTAAAAATTTTTTTTCACTAAATATGTAAAAAGTACAGACAAGCCATCCCTCTTCCTCTCTCGAAGTCGCAAAAATTAAAGGTTTGTGTTTTTATGAATTTATGATTCGTTGAGATAATGAGTATCATTTGTAACATTTTTTTGTTTGGAAGATGGCAGCAGCTGTGCAGACTTATGGTCGTAAGGTGTGTTTAACTTAGATTCAATTGGTCACTGAATGATAGTTTTTTTTTTATATATAAATATTTTTTTTGATTTTTAAATCGGATTATTGCAATTAATCTATTCAATTAAAGAAAACTGCGACCGCAGTCGCTCATTGCAAACCTGGCACTGGTCTTATAAAGATAAACGGTTCCCCAATCCATTTAGTAGAACCCGAAATTCTTCGTTTCAAAGTTTACGAACCAATTCTCTTATTGGGTCAAGATAAATTCGCAGATGTTGATATTAGAGTCCGTGTTAAAGGTGGTGGTCATACTTCACAGATTTATGCTATTCGTCAGGCAATTGCGAAAGCCATTGTAGCCTATTACCAGAAATACGTTGATGAAGCCAAAAAAAAGGAAATCAAGGAGATTCTTATCAATTATGATAGAACTTTACTAGTTGCTGATCCTCGTCGTTGTGAGCCAAAGAAATTTGGAGGTGTTGGTGCTCGCGCACGGTATGATATTTTGATGAGTTTTATTTCAATAGTATTCTATCAATTGATTTATTAAATTTTTTTTTTTTGATATAGTTACCAAAAATCTTACCGTTAATCTTTATATTATAACGAAGATTAATGATTGTAATCGATCAAAAACTTGTAAGCTTAGCCGAGTCGATAGATTTGATACGGTTAGCTTAGTCTGTTATGATCTCAAAAAATTAATTCTACCAATAATAAACTATAATCCAGAAATACTCGCTGACCAGCTCATATTTTATGTTTTTTTTTTTATTTTGCATAAATAAATATATATATATAACGTCGTTGTATAATAAAAAATGATAAATATCGTTGCGTAATGTTTCCAAGGTAAAAAAAAAAAAATCATGTACCGCTCTCAAAACATGTACCGCTCTCAAAACAAAGTCGATCCAGAATAACGACTGCAGTATGACTTCACCCACTTTTCGACTTGATTTCAAAATAAATGACCAGATAAAATGAACCTGACACACAGAGAAAGACTTATCTAGTAGCTCATTCGTTAACGACGCACTCCAAATTCATATAAATTTGCAAACGCATGCCACATACACTTCAAAAGCGTTAAATCCAATTCTCCTATTGCTTGTCCCACCTAAACACCTAGAGACCCAACGACGACTCTGACGAATGGGATGAGCCCAAAAGGATTATAAAAAAAATATTAGTATCAGCGGAAGGGCTCAACCAAAAAAACTAGCGTTTGTTGTATACTTGCCTGCGTCGAAGATACGAGAAAGAAATTTTGATGGCGATACATAAGGTTAGTTGTAGGATGCGGTCTAATCATTTACATAATCGACTAAGCGAATTTTTAGAGAACCAACTAATTTATCCGGCAGCATCTACTTGAAACACTAATCAACGAAGACATTCAATACAATGATAATTCCTTTAAAAAATCATTCGCATGGAAATTTAATTAATACTACTAAAATTCATTCCTTAAATTGATTTATTTTAATCAATTTGTGTTGAGAAATTCTCTTATCAAAAATAATATTCTATTTTAAAATAAATAATACATGAAAAGTCTTAATACAGGTACATTATCGTAGACGTTAATCTTTTGTGATGATACGAGTACATACATAATAAATATTTTTATATCTATGGCTTAAGTCTAAAAATCATGTCCATTCACCAAATGCTCAATAACTTGCCACCCTGCAGCATTTAGCCACTTTCTTCTCACAATTACGTGTGTGTGAGCCTCTCCCTCAAGTTGTACGAAAACTTTACGCCATGACATATCTTTATGCCATTCTCTAGCGATTTGTTCTTCCATAGACATATCCACACCCACTTTTGGTGGTGAAACGTCTTCAGGCTTAACCATCACATCATATACAATTGGTGATGATCCTTTAATAGATCGAGAAATATAATCTGATGTAATGTCAAGAGGACTAAGCGAAACGAAAACATGTCTTAGTTGATCATTTATAGTGCATTTGAATGATAGTTTATCATCATATTTGTGAAAATAAAGTGAAGAAGTTTGGAAAGAAACTACCAAATCGTTTGCGATATTCGCATACAATGTACGATTACGGAATTTGGAAACCGCTATATGCGATGGCGACATTAGTTGCGCAAGAGCTAGCAATAGTGGTTGTTCTCTAGTGTCTTCCTTTACGGCTCCTTTTGCATTTTCCTGTTCTTCTGTGGATCGAGCAATTAAGGCCAAATCTTTGCCGGTTTGCCCAACTACACCGAATTTAAGTCCGGCCTTTATGTACCATGATAGATCAGTAGACCCAAGCCAAGGTGTAGCGATTGTAATGAAATGGATCGGTTGAACATCATTAAAAAATGCACCGTTTGTGACACTGTGTAGGTATCCTGCCATGAATGCATTTATTAAACCACCCAATGAATGGCCTATTAAAGATATTTTTGAAATCAAAGGTTCATTTCTAGAATCACTTGTACTACTAATATTGTCACGGTCATTATTGTTTGGACCCCACGGCCATCCAACATATTTTAAGAGCTCCTTAGCTAATCTTTTACCACATATTTCAATACCATCTTCAGTGCCAGAATGATTCACATCAGACATGAAAAAAATGATTCGATCAGTCTTTCGATCCATGTATTTTTCCTCAAGAGCTTCCTTCAAATATAATTCATCTAGCATAGACCCATGGATTCCATGAGTCAATACTACAAGGTGAATATCTCTAGTTGAAAAAGTAGTAAGATCTGGCATCTTAAAGATATCATGCGGCTTTAAAAACTCGTATTTTATTGAAGAAGAATAGGTAGTTGTCGTACCATCCTGACTAACAACCGCTTTTCCGTCAAATATTTGTAATTCGTCAATGACAGTCGCTTCTTCAGGTACACAAGCAAATATACAGACATTATATTTGACTTTATTAGAAGAGAAAAGAATTTCGCACAATACATCAATCGTCCAATCACCGATGCCATTTGAAGGAACTATTAACTTTGACTGCCAAGTCTCACCACATTTGATAACAGGTTTCAAGTTCGGAGTGAAAAGATTATCAGGGTGCAATTTTAGTCTTCTAGCATGTTCAGTTTCAATACATGAAGCCGAGATGTTATAAGGGCCGCTTAAGACAGCTCCACGGTATAAGATTGGTGTTTCATTTGTAATTTTAACTATAAGGTTCGAAGGAGGCCAAGCTGTACTAGGAGAATGCTTTGTACTATCAAATTGAATTCTATATCGAGATATTTCACCAACAGTAAGCTCGAAAGAAGAACTCCATAACCGAATTAAGCTTGTCATTTTTATTCTTTTACCCATTTATGATTTTAAGCAGTATATTTAAACATCTCGGTTGGAAATTACATAAACTATAAATTTATGTTTCGTTGATCACCAAACGTGACCAATAGTGAAACTTAAATAGTAAATTGCCGGGGGCTAATCAAATCAAGGGAGACCGTCCTAAATATGGAAATAACTTCCGATATAGTTACACACAAATATCAACCAATTATTTTGTAACTTTTGCAAATCACCTGTACACCGGCCAATCAGATTGCCAAAAAAAAGTTGAGGAATTAAATGAATTTTATCGATGGTAAGCTACTCAGGCTTTTTAAAAAAAAAAATTTGTTTATCAATTGTGTAACTATCTGGTGACTCAGGTAAACATTTCTATATTTGGGACAGTCTCTCTTGGATCGTTATTTGCGATACAAACTCATAGGAGGATTTTCGTTTGATTGGCTGATGTAAATCAATTGCCCGAGTAACTTATTTATACACTTTAGAGTACTTTTTGAGAACGTAACGTTTCACTAATAAAAAATTGTCGCAAAAGTCATTTTTAGCTTTAAACGAATATTAATATTCATTGTGCAAAAGAATCAAAAAAGAATTATCTTTCACACTTACTTTACTTAGAAGACAAAATGTCACATAATTGTAATGTTACAAGATCATGTGTGGTGACTATATGCGAGAAAAAGTCAAACAACTGAAGAGCAGTAACAGAAAATGTTTTTACAAAAGAAATAGCTAACAACACTTTACCTTCTTATATTAAAATAGGTGATATGATTTGTTTTTTTTTTTTTTTTTTTTTTTTTTTTTTTTTAAATATTAAGGTGAGTACTTGTGACCCAGGATTTTATTGATAGTACATT